CTCCTCCTCCTCCCTCCTACTCCTCCTCCTCCTCCTCCCCCTCCTCCTCCTCCTCCTCCTCCTCCTCCTCCTCGGCCCGCCCGCCCGCCCGCGGCCCAAACCGGCCCGCGGCCAAAAGCGAACTGGCGCAGCCGAACTGGCCCGTCGCCGAACCGGCCCGAACCGACCCGAACTGTACCCTTCCTGAATTGTGTTACTTACTTCGTGCTCTCTACTCGCGACTAATCGCTAATCTACTTGCAACTATATCCTCTTATTTCCTTCCTCTACTCTCCGCTCTCTTCTCTACCCTTCTTCTCTGCTCGACCTTGCTCCAGTCAGCCCTCCATGACTCCCTGCAAATCAAATTTGCGGCACTACCCTAGCATATCCGAGTGTGCCCAGGCGCTGGAAAAGCACTGCGCATGTGCTCCGATGTCTGTTCCAGACGAGTTGGAAAGGCGACTGTGCTTTGATGTATTTTCCTCAAGTGCCATCTCTTGAAACATCGAGGCCGACATATGAATAAAAAACCACTGGTCAGGCCGAGCCTGGGCACGCGCGGGACGCGCTGCTGGTAGCACAGGGCGCGCCGCTCAAACTCTCCTGAACACGAGGGAGAGGCGCGCTGCGACTGGTCGAAGCACGTCGGCACATCACACGCGCGGCGGCTCACGCAGCACCACGGCGAGGACCAGCGTGATGAGCGTGATGAAGATTATGCCCACGTAAAACAGGGCCTCCTCTCCGCCGGCCAGGGCGACGCTGCTCCCGCCCATGGCGTCCTGGCCCTCCGCCGCGAGCGCGGGCAGCTGGGACAGGCCCAGGCTGGCCACAGCGCCCCCTGCGGCGGCCACCGACCGCTGCGCTGGCTGTGGCACGAACGTGTGGCTGCCCGCCCACAGCAGCGCCGCGCACAGGAGCACAGCGACGAAGGGGCTGCTGCTGCGCGCCATCGCGAACGTCTGAGACGCGCGGCGGGGGAGCGGAACAGGACGGGACCTCGCCGTCACTTGCCTTGGGCCGGGAACGCTGCAGAAACAGTGCGCTTCAGCGCTTGTGGGCCGGCGGGGTGTCGAGGCTTCGCTTGGTGGGCGGCCTTGGGCGCCTTCTCGCAAGCGCCTCGCGCTGCTTGTACGATATTGCCTGCACTACCCAACTTGCACCACGTAGCTCACGCCTCAAAGTTTACACCGCGTAGCTTGCACCACACAAGTTCCACCGCATACCACCTAGCACCCAGAGCAAGAGTTCACTGTTGAGGGTCTACGCTGGCAAACATCAGTGTTCGGCCTACGCTGGCAAACATCAGATCAGTGTTCGGCATTGAACAGTTGTCGTTGCACAAACTATCGTAATTGCTCCAGGCCGCCTGGCAACATCTCGCACGCGCTGCTATAGTTGGCGAACAGGAGCGGCCACCATTGGGGCGTACGCTCACTGTGCAAAGCCCTACAACACTGAGGTGAGAGCGCTACTCCCGAGCAGAGGCCTTCGACTCCGAACGTGCCCAGGATTCTTCGGACGACTATACGTCCACTCTCGAGGCGAGAGCGCGAATCTAGGGCAGAAACCTTGAAACGCTCCAGTTGCTCGGACTGTCGTGGAAGGGTGGGCTGGCAAACGTCACGACGAGCGTATGATTCTGGGGCAGAAGCCTTTGCGATCATATCAGTATTCGATAGTTTTGAGGGGTGCGATGCCAGCCATCGTCGAGGCGAGAGCAGAGTCCAAGGCGGAATCCTCTGAGAGCTCCTGGTGTTGTAATGACTTTGGCGGAGACGCCTGGTCGAATTCGGAGCAGAAACCTTCCAGGACTCATGATGCCCCAAATCCTGGAGCGGATCAACACGTCCTTGGTCATGTTTTGTCACACCTGGTTCGTCGACATGCACCCCAAGCGTGTGTTACAGTGGGGGCCGATCCACAAGAAACCTTCTACAAGAAACCCGCCCCTGAAACCCCACGACATCCGTTGAATCTTGGTGTGGGGACGTTACGCTTTTCATTGCAAAACCATCGACACCCAAGAAACCCATGGCGCCCTGGAGGCGAGCAGGGTGTTTCTTGGCATGGGGGGAGGAGGAGGAGGAGGAGGAGGAGGCGGGAAGGAGGAGGAGGAGGAGGAGGCGGAGGAGAGGAGGAATCGGAGGAGGAGGTGAGGAGGGAGGAGGAGGCGCGCGGAGGAAAAGGAAGGAGGAGGGAAGGAGGAGGCGGAGGAGGAGGAGGCTGAGGAGGAGGAGGCGGAGGAGGAGAAGGAGGAGGAGGAAGAGGAGAGCAGGGTGTTTCTTGGCATGGGTCTCCACTGTACCTCTCCGAGGCTCTCTGGGCCTCTCCAGGCCTGGTCCTCCTCGGCATCCCCCCCCAAGCGGCGGTCTTCCCGGGAGCCTCCCCAGGCTCGAGCTCTTGCCGACCCGTCGTTCTTCGACATCACCCACGTTTCCAGACAGTCACCGGTGGCAATCCCACCCTCCCTTTAGGGTGTGAGTGGTTTTAGCGGAGTTCCTCTTCTATCCTCCCTCGTTCCACGATGGGAGGGGTTCAGCCCTCCCATCGTCATGACCCTTGCCACCTCCTCCTCCTCCTCCTCCTCCTCCTCCTCCTCCGTTCCTCCTTCCCTTCCTCCTTCCCCCTTCCTCCTCCCCTTCCTCCTCCTCCTCCTCCTCCTCCTCCTCCTCCTCCTCCTCCCTTCCCCTTTTTCTCCCTCCCTCCCTCCCTCCAACGAGGCCACCAGGTGGTCCAGGTCGGGCAAGCGCTTGTCTGCCGACGCTGTGCTTCCTTCTCACCCCGCTTGCGCGTGAGCCTCAACTGCAAGCTTCGATGTGCAATCTTTGAGAGGCACGCCTGGGCTTCTCGAGGGGGGAACGCCTCAAGAAGGCGCAGGTGGCCGCTCTGGCCAAAGTGTTTTCGGGGTTCAACCCCGAAGCGCGCGTGTCGCTCGTCTCTCCTCTCCACCCCCGCCTCCTCGTCCTCTGCGCGTTCTGGTCCTCCTCCGCCGCAGGTGCAGGGTGAGTCCCCGCCGCTTACCTCTGGGTAGTGGCATGTGGGAAGCCGTGCGCTCTGCGCAGCGCGCGCAGCGCCGCGCAGGTAGCCCGCGCGGGCCGGGCCCGCTGGCTTTCTCGCTCGGCCGCCACGATTCGGTTTCGGTGGTTCTGCGTCATACCGAACATCGGGGGCGTTGTCGGTTTTCCCCACATGATTACTGGGTTTCTTGATTTTTCCCCATCCGCGTCTTATTTGCGTCTCCCTCACACACCTCCCTCCTCCCCTCCTCCTCGCCGTTCCTCCCCTCACCCACGCGCAATACATGCACGGCACAAACATGAGGCACGCGCCCACGTACAGCCGCACACGCATCACACACATGCGCAAGGCACACAACACACAAACACGCACGTACACACATACACACATCCACGCCGCACGCACACAAACACCCACCCACCCCCACACACCCACACCCACACACACCCACACACCCACACCCACACCCAGACCCACACCCACGCCCACACCCACACCCACGCCCACACCCACACCAACACCCACACCCACGCCCACCCCCATCCCCCACCCCCACCGCCACCCCCACCCCCATCCTTACTTCCTGTGATTCAACACTAAGTGTTCTACCACATCCCCACCTAGCCGGCCGATAGCGACCCCGTCGTCCTAACTGTCAAGCAACAACACAAACTCAATGTTTTCTCGCCAACATGTCGTCGAATTGCGAGAGACGGAATGAATATCGCTTGGGTAGCCCCAAGCGGGTGGTCGCGTCCTACCCGTCAAAAAAATACAAAGTCAACGTTTTTCTCGTCAGCATGGACTTTCGTGTCGTCGACGCTGCGAAAAGTGCAGCAGGAATGGGACGCGGCGCACATCGCGCGCGGACGCCCGGCCAACCCTACGCGGGACCCCCCGTCGTACCTGCCAACAAACACCGCAACGTCGACGTTTTCGTTGCCAACATGTGTTTTCTCCTCGTCGGCGCTGCGAATCGCGTGGCGGGAACGGGACGCGGCGCACATCGCGCGGGGGCGCCTGCTCGTCAACATGGACTTTCTTGTCGTCGACGCTGCGGCCCGTCGGCGGCGGCGCTGGAGGCGCCGCCAAGGCGGCCCCCCAGGCGCCGATCCGAGAAATCCGCGGGAATCTCAAAGGTATTATTTTCATGTCATTGTTTGTTCCCCTCTCTCTTCCCCCGAGCTTTCGTGATATTGCAATCCAAAAAGGGGTGGGGTACCTGCGCCGACGGGGCGGGGGCTCTCCGGAGCCTCCAGAGAGCCCCAAGGCGGCCCAACGAGCGCCGAGACAATCCAAGAGAGCGTCGAAACGGCCCAGGGAAATTAACCCCATGACGGTCCAATATGGCTACAAGACAAAGTGTCGAAGAGAGGGCCTCAAGAGGCAACCATCGCCCCATTCCTTGCCTAGAATACGTGCGTTTTCAACATGCAAGCCTTTTTCGTTTTAGCACCGCCACCACAACCCCTGGAACCCCAATAGCCGTCCGAAGACAGACCATGATGCCACCAAAAATGCCCAATTAAACCCCAAGAAACCCGGAAGAAGGCCCCAAGGCCCCCGACGACCGCCGTTCAATGCGAATGGCGCGCTGCTGCTATGCTCATTGGCGTTTGAACTTGGCGTTTCCTTGTGCTGGCACGCGGTCAATGCCCGAAATCACTGTGGACATTCGCGCGCTCGTGCCAAGGCAAAAGCCAGTGGGCGCGTCGGCCCTTGGCGGCGCTGGCAAGAGCCCTCGGACCCGTGCTGGCATTCCACCAGCTCGGCAGGCTCTGGAGAACCTGAGGTCGCGAGCACTGAGCTACAGCCAAAAACTGGTAGCAAGGATGCGCGATCTTCGGGGAGACGGAAGGCTCGGGCTCTGGGGGCTCGGGTTGGCCTGACGGGGTTATGCAAGTGACGAGACCCCGTCTGAAAGTGGACGCGAGCTCCCGCTGTAAAGATTGGCAGCCATCCCACGAAGACTCGAGCGTCAAACTCCCGGGCGCGCTCGTCGAAAAGCGTCGGCGACGCCGAGCTCCGGCGTCCCGAGTCTTCCGCTCCCCCCGAGGTGCGGCTGCGAGCCCCTTGGCCGCCCACGTCGAGGCTTTTTCTCTCGAGCGGGGCTGGGCGTCGAAAGCGGCTCAGGATGACCGAAGAGGCACGGGTGCAAGGGCACCCTTGGAGGAAGAGGAGGAGGAGGAGGAGGAGGAGGAGGAGGAGGAGGAGGAGGAGGAGAAAAGGTGGAGGAGGAGGAGGAGGAGGAGGTGGAGGAGGAGGAGGAGGAGGAGGGGAACGTTGCCCATCCTTGGATGTATAACGAAACAGCATGAACAGAAACTTTCGACGGCCCACGCGGACTTCTTGGCTGCGCTGTAGCCCCCTCCCTGGCGCGCGGGGCGCGCCAGGGGTGGAGCTGGAGGCGCCGCCGGGTGGGCCCAGCGCGGATCCAAGAGCTCCGCGCGGAGAGCCAAACAATTATGTTTATGCAGCTTGTTCTCCATATTCGACGAAAGCGGTCCAGGATAGACCGAAGAGGCACGGATGCAAGGGCACCCTTGGAAACGTTGCCCATCCTTACCATCAGTTTCGACTGTACCTGCAGTAGGAACTCGACCACGAGAAACCTTCCACAAGAAACCCGACCCTGAGATCCCAGGACGTCCATCGAGTTTTGCTGTAGGAGCGTCGCGCTTTCCACAGCAAGACCATCAAGCCCAAGAAACCCAGGGCACCCTGGAGGCAAGCAGGGTGTTCCTTTCCTTTCCTTTCCTCTCCTTTTCACACCCCTGCTGAGCGCGTCGCTTGGGTGTTACAGCTGCTAACACACTTCCGTCCTGCCCCGCCGCCCAACCTCGCACCTCCCCGGTGTTCCTTGTGTTCCTTGCCAAGGTGTTTCTTGGCATGGGCTTCCACTGGTACCTCTGGGGAGGAGGAGGAGGAGGAGGAGGAGGAGGAGGAGGAGGAGGAGGAGGAGGAGGAGGAGGTGGGTGGAGGAGGAGGAGGAGGAGGAGGAGGGAGGGGGCTTCTACCTTCGCCGCCTCCCGCCGCCACCTTCCGCGGCCTCTCCGCCGCCCTTCCGCGGGCGCAGGCCGCCCCTGCACGGCCTGCCCCCGCCCGCCTCCGCCGAGACGGCCACGGCGACGGCGGCGGTCGGCGGCGGCGCGGGCGACGCCGACACTCGCCACCGCTCGGACGTCCATTCCTTAGTCCAGGGCTTAGGAGGAGGAGGAGGAGGAGGAGGAGGAGGAGGAGGAGGAGGAGGAGGAGGAGGAGGAGGAGGGGGAGGAGGGGGAGGAGGAGGAGGAGGAGGGGAGGGGAGGAGGGGAGGAGGAGGAGTGAGGAGAGGAGGAGGAGGAGGAGAGGAGGAGGAGGAGGAGGAGGAGGAGGAGGAGGCTTAGTGGGCCCTGGAAGCGACAAGGCTCGCCGCTTCTCTCTGGCCATCCCGTCGCCACCCTGTACGCTCCCTCGGGCGGGGGCTTCTCTTGGCGGCGAGCGCGGGGGGGAAGTGAGAAGGAGCGGGCCCTTAGTGGGCCCTGGAAGCGACAAGGCCGTTTCATTTTACCGGTTCCGGTTTGCCGTTTTTTTGCCGGTTCCGACGCCGTTGTTTTACCGGTTCCGTCGCCGTGTTTTGACCGGTGCTGGCTCCTGTTCCAACCCTGAAGCCGTTTTTTTGCCGTTTCCGGTCGCCGTTTTTCTTGCCGTTTCAGGGGCCCACAAAGGTCCATTCCCTGTGCGTTTTCGGCTTCGTGTGTGTATTTTTGGGCAGGGTGGGCAAGGCTGCTCCTCGATGGTTCTCGCTAAGGAAGAGACCCAGACCCCCGACGTCATGATTTTTTCATGACGTCGACCCCCAGAGGTCTGGACCCATTCCCCAGGACCGGCTTTTCATCCTGAGTCGTTTTTTGACGGTCCCGAGGGCCGGTAAGGGCCCCCAGAGGCCAAAAATAACGAAAAACCTCCCGTCGTGATTTTTTCATGACTCGAGGGGGTCTGGGAAGGGAGGACACACGTCCGAGCGATGCCGAGGACATCGGAACCGACGGCGTCGGCGACGGCGGCGGCGATCGCGCGCCGGCTGCTGCGGGCGCGGGCGCGGGCGCGGGGGCGCGGCGCTGAGCGGCCGAGCGGCCGCGCTGCGAGGGCGGCGCGCCGGGGCGCCGCGCTCGCAGAGCAGCCGCCCGCGGGCGGGAAAGGTCAACCCGTGCCGTTTCCCGACGAGGACGCGCCCCTTGCCATCGCTCGACCCAGACCCCCTCGAGTAATGAAAAAATCATGACGGGAGGTTTTTCCTAATTTTCGGCCTCTGGGGGCCCTCACCGGGCCTCGGGAGCGTCAAAAAACGACTCAGGATGCAAAGCCGGTCCTGAGGAAAGGGTCGGGACCTCTGGGGGTCGACGTCATGAAAAAATCATGACGTCGGGGGTCTGGGTTTCCCGACGAGGACGCGCCCCTTGCCATCGCTCGACGAGGACGCGCCCCTTGCCATCGCTCGACGAGGACGCGCCCCGTGCCATCGCAGGGCAGCCCCCCCCCCGCCGTGCTCCACGAGGACGCGCCCCCTGCCATCGCTCGGGCGTCCGCGAGGACCTCGCGCAGGCCTTCTTCGGTGCTGTGCGCGTGGCTGCGGCCGGGGTGATCTCCGAGGTGCCCCGGACCGGTGCAGACTCGGTCCCGGGGGAAGGGTCGGCACTTCCAGGGCTTAAAGGGCCCGCCCTGGAAGCGACAGGGCCGTTTCTTTTTACCGGTTCCGTTCTGCCGTTTTTGTTGCCGGTTCCGACGCCGTCTTTTTACCGGTTCCGTCGCCGTGTTTTGACCGGTTCCGGCTCCGGTTCCAATGCTGGAGACGTTTTTTTGCCGTTTCCGGTCGCCGTTTTTCTTGCCGTTTCCATTTTCAAGGGGCATTTTGCGGGAAACTGTGAAGGAACGGCCCTGCCGTTTCCGGGCCCCACAAAGTTCCAGGGACCCCGTACTGAAGAAATCTGGACGTCGAATGTCTGGGCAGGAGTGGCCCTGGGTAAGAGAGCGGCCTCTGGTGCGCGGCTTTTCGGTGGCCGCGGGGGGGGGGCCAACACAAGCCCGCAAGACGCTACTATCGCACCGCGGTCGGCAATCGGGGGGCCCCCATTCTGGGCCCGCGCCAGAGGTCACTCCGGCGAAAGGTTACTATTATTAAGTACGTCTAGTCGAATCTGGGGCGTCGGAGACCCAGACAGGCAACGCGCTGATTTGTTCGGAGCGGGGTCACTGGAAGTCCTGACCCTTTCCCCGGGCACGGCTTTTCCGCCTGATTCGTTTGTTGACGCTCCCGAGGCCCGGCGAGGGCCCCCCAAGGCCGAAATTGGCACGAACATGTCTGGGGAGCAGCCCTCCCTCCCCCCCCGGTGTCGACGAGGAGGCGCTCTGTGGGGAGCGGCCCACCACTGCAGCGGTCCAGACGCGCCCCGCCGCCCCAGACCCCCGACGTCGTGCTTGTTTCGCCACGTCGACCCTCAGAAGTCGGGACCCCTTGCCCAAGACTAGTTTTTCATCCTGAACCGTTTTTTGACGGCCCCGAGGCCCAGCAAGGGGCCCCGGAGAATGAGAACAGCGTTAGGTCGGGCATGTCCCCCCGCAGGCGGATCTAGAATAGCGTGAGGTCGGACATGTCCCTCCACAGGCGGATTCTGGGCGAAAAATTAAAAAGAGCCAAAAACATACTCCAAACATAACTAACACTCTGGTAGAAAAATCGTCCCCAGACAAAGTTTTGACTATCTTTGAATATTCCCCCTGCGGAGGGACACGCCCGACATAAGAATAGCAACAAGCCTCCCGCCGAATTTTTTGTTTCGCGGTGTGAGGGGGTCGGGGGCCCCCGAAGAATAATGTTTTACACATGTTTAACAACTGCTTTTGCATGTTCGAGAAAAGAATTAAGCATCTGTTTGAATACTGTTGTGCGCATTTTGAAAACCTGTTTGTACAAGTCAGAGACATAACTAAAACATATGACTAACGTGTCAGAAGAATGCTATAAGCAGGTTTTGCTCATCTGTTTAACATGCTCAATATCTGTGTTGATCAAGTTTTAGACGCCTGGAACTCCTTTTGCAACGCGCTGCCTCTCCACCGATCGTCGTCCACAAGCCTCAGAGGCGGCGAGAAGGGGCGAATGGCCCGGTGGAGAGCAGCACATGCATTCAGGTGCGCCGATGACCTATGTCTTCAAAGAGGCTCCCGGGCGCATGCGTGTCATGCCCGCCCCCCAGACCCCCGACGTCATGATTTTTTCATGACGTCGACCCCCAGAGGTCTGGACCCATTCCCCAGGACCGGTTGCTCGTCCTGAGTCGCGTTTTGACGGTCCCGAGGGCCGGTGAGGGCCCCCAAGGAGGAGGAGGAGGAGGAGGAGGAGGAGGAGGAGGAGGAGGAGGAGGAAGAGGAGGAGGAGGAGGAGGAGGAGGAGGAGGAGGGAAGAGGGAGGAGGAGGAGGAGGAGGAGGAGGAGAAGGCGGAGGAGGAGGAGGAGGAGGAGGAGGAGGAGGAGGAGGAGGAGGAGGGCCCCCAGAGTCCCAAAAATCATGAAAAACCTCCCGTCGCGTTTTCCTCATGACTCGAGGGGGTCTGGTGCCCTGGGCTCCTCGCCCCTGCCGCCGCCGCCGCAAGCCCTGGGAGCACCGGGGGCCAGCGGCGCGGCCCCCCGGCGTCGCCTCGACGCCGGGGGGCCGTGCACGCGGCAGAATGCACCGTGCCCAGACATCGGGCGTCTCGAAAAAATCGAGACGGAGGTTTTTCGTCATTGTTGGCCTCTCTGGACCCTCACCGGGCCTCGGGACCGTCAAAAAACGACTCGGGATGAAGAACCGGTCCCAGGGAAGTGGTCGGGAGGTCGGGGGCCCGCGTCTCGAAAAAATCGAGACGTCGGATGTCTGGGTGCATGCGTTGCGATCGACTGCGAGGGGCGCACCCTGAATCCACCGCGCTCTGATGCGATCGCTGGCTGGTGCAGCGTGCGCCGACTCGAGGCCGAGCGCACTCCTCAAGAACATCTGTCCGACCCCATCAGGGCCAACACTAAAGGTCACTCTGGCCAAGGGTCACGGAGGAGGAGGAGGAGGAGGAGGAGGAGGAGGAGGAGGAGGAGGGGGAGGAGGAGCGAGGAGGAGGAGCGAGCGAGGGGAGGAGGAGGAGGAGGAGGTGGAGGAGGGGGGGGGGGGAGCGAGGAGCGAGGAGGAGCGAGGAGGAGGAGGAGGAGGAGGAGCCTTACGTGTAGCCGAGTCGAGGGGCCCCGCGCCGCGCGGGGTCAGGCCCCGGCCTCGGCGAGGCGCGCCCGCCAGTGGTCCGCGGCCCACAGGGCGCTGCCGTCCGGGGTGTTGCAGAGGCCGGGCCCGCAGCGCGGCCGCCCTGCTCAGAGGAGCAAGGATCGGGGAGACGTAAGACCTGGGTACGGGGGACTCGGAAATCCCCCACGAGGTCGTCAAAAAAATGACGAGGCCGAGCCTGCATTTTGACGAGGCCTCCCGCTGCAGACATCCCACAAAACTCCTCCTCGTCAAAATCCGAGTCGCGGTCGTCAAAAACGATGGCGAACCCGAGTCCTGGCAAACCCGGGTCTTACGCTCCCCCGATTGTGGGCCCCGGAAAAGGCAGGGCCGTTTTTTCACCGCTTCCAGAAAAAAGTCCCTTGAGAATGGAAACGGCAAAAAAACGGCGACCAGAAACGGCAAAAAAACTACTCCAGGAGTGGAACCAGAGCCGGAACCGGTCAAACAACGGCGACGGAACCGGTAAAGAAACGGCGTCGGAACCGGCAAAACACCGGCAGAACGAAACCGGTAAAAAAACGGCCCTGTCGTTTCCAGGGCCCACTAAGGCCCAGAGGTCCAGCGCATCGACTCAAATCAGGACGGAGGTTTTTCGCTGGTTTCGGCCTCGAGGCCCTCGCCGGGCCCAGGGGCCGTCAAGGAACGACTCAGGATGAAAAACTGGTCCCTGAGAATGGGTCGAGAATTCTGGGGACCGCGCATGGAACAAAATCACGACATCGGATCTCTGGTTGCCCAGACATGCGACGTCCACGGGGCCCCTGGAAGTCCCGACCCTTTCCCCAGGACGGGTCTTTCGTCCTGAATCGTTTTCCGACACTCCCGAGGCCCGGGAAGGGCCTCCAGAGGCCGAAAAGGGACCAAAACCTTCCGTGCTGATTTTTGTTTACGACGCGATCAATGTCTGCGTGCCGATACTGCTATCCTTCGCCCGTTTTCCCCTTATTCGGCCTTCTCGGAGGCCCTCGCTGCCACGGATGGGTTCGCCTCGAAATTCTGGTCAGAACGCACCGCGGGAGAGCTCGGGGGAGTAGCGTTACCGGTACCCTTCGGACTCCCCACCTATGGTTGTGGATGCCATGACACTGGACACTCTAACAATCCTGTCATTGAATAAGAATGTGTTTAGCATGTGAAACATGTTCTAAACATGCTTCAAGCATGTTCTTACATATCTGAAACATGTTTGAAACATTTTTTGGACATCTGGAAAATATTTGGCAGCATGCTTCCTCTCCATTACGCGACTTCCACAAACCTATGGCGTTGATGTAGTGGTTCACGCGGATGTCCGCGAGCGGGTCCGCGCGGACGACGAGCGCGGGGTCCTCCCCGGGCACCTCGGGGCCCCGCAAGCAGGGCCTCTGGCAAGCACGGTCTCTGTCGCAGCGCGCCCGAGACATCGGCCCGCCGTGGGCCGCAAAACATTCCCCTCCTCCTCCTCCTCCTCCTCCTCCTCCTCCTCCGCCGTGGGCCGTAAAACCTTCGCTCCACTTCCGCTACCCTTTGGATGGATTTGGCAGGAAGTTATGGCTTCCCTCAGATCCGCCGTTGCAGAAGCAAGACATGACTACCTACCAGACCACCCCAACCCAACCCGAAGACCCGAATTGGACCCCAATCTCGGGTTGGGGGGGGACGGGTTTCATGTGTTTCTTCAACGTTCCCCGACCCCCCCCACTGGAAATGGAGGGCAAATTGAGGGCTTCGGGTTGCGTTGGGGTGGTTTGGTGGGCGGTGAAGACAAAGGCATCGCAGACGATCACGGCCAGAGCCCCGGACCCCATCTCTCTCTCTGCACCACTCTTCGCGCCGGGCCGATCCGCGAGGGCCCCCGGGGCCCGAGATTGAGCGAAAACGCCTGGTGCGAGAACGTTGCGATGCCAGGATTCTCTTTCTCTCTCTCTCTCTCTCTCTCTATATATATATACATATATATATATGTATATATATATATACTAGAACCATCGCGCGCGCTTCGCGCGCGCTCAGGTTCTAGCAGGCCCCAGGCCTTGACGAATTCACTGCTCCACTGAAGTAGTGGACCACAGTCCACGCATGCCAATCTGCACTCCGAAAGGTTGTGTAGGGGGACGGAAGCCGTATGAATCTGGTTCCCAGAGGGCCTTCTGGGAGCATGGGTTGGGAGGCGTCTTGGGGAGCCTGTTGGGGCGTGCCGTCGTCGTCGTCGTCGTCGTCGTCGTCGTCGTCGTCGTCGTCGTCGTCGTCGTCGTCGTCGTCGTAATGTCGTCATCGTCGTCGTCTTTGTCTCCTGTAGCGGATCCCTAGACCCCCCCCCGGGTCCAAACGAGTAAGCGCAGCAGCAGGAGCAGAAGGCGGTGGGAGCGAGAGGGGAGGCGGAGGAGGAGGAGGAGGGGGAGGAGGAGGAGGAGAAGGGGGAGCAGGAGGGGAGGAGGAACAGTTCAACCGACATCGGCTACGGAAGGACTCTCCAAGGCCCACCTGACGACTGCCTCTTCTGATGCTCCTTGAGGGGCTTCAACCAAACCGCGAGGATCTCGTCGTACGGCGTACGTCGAACGTCATCGGCCGTCCTGGGGCCTCTCGGGGGCCTCTTGGGAATCTATTGGGCCCTCCTGGGTGGCCTCTTGAAGTGGAAGGCTCCAAATGTCGGTTCGGGCTCCCCCATATTGGGCATCTCTTGTGGCCGTGTTGGGGCCCTCCTGGGCCGTCTTGGGCGGCTCGTAGGCCGTCTTGGGGCCCTCCTGGCCGTATTGGGGTTCTCTTGGGGGCTTCTCGGGCTGTTTCGGGGCGGTCTTGGTGACCCCTTGAGCCGGCATGGAGATTGGGAAAGCCGACAAGGCGAGAAGGGCGAAGTCCTTCAACAGACACATAGAAAATCAACGAATTTGGGCTCTCGGGGATCTGTTGGGAGTCCTCTTGGAGCCTTCTTGTGGCGTCTTGTGGGCCTCTTCCGGGTTTCTTCGGGGTTTCTTGGGGCAGAAAGCTCGAATGGTTGGTTTGGGTTTCCGTTCTAGAGTCCCTCGTGGAGCCGTTTTGGGGTCCTCCTGGGCGTGCTGGGCGCCTCCTGGGCAGTTATGGGGCCCTCTTGGGTAGTCCTGGCGTCCCCTTGGGAGCTTCGCGGGCTTCCTTGGGTCGATTTTTTTCCGACGGAGACACATCAGCCTGGAGGTGAAGAGATGCGTCAGATTCACTGGGCTGACCGCAGGCGGACGCCACCTGCAAGCCAGCAGTGCAGCCTGACGCGCCGTGGCGCGAACGGCACACATATTACTTCCCGAGGCCAGCGGGGGCGCTCACCGCGCCACGGCGTGCCGCGGCGGGGCGATCGGGGGTCGAGGAGGAAGGAGGGAGAAACAAGGAGGAGGAGGAGGAGGAGGAGGAGGAGGAGGAGGAGTAGGAGGAGGAGGAGGAGGAGGAGGAGGAGGAGGAGGAGGAGGAGGAGGAGGAGAGGAGAGGAACGCGGGGCGCTGTCTCTTCAAAACGAGGACCCAACACCACAGGATGGTTGGGAAAAAGAACTGCGTCTAATTCGCTGCGCCGGCCTGACATGCCAAGGCTCACAAACTGAGGCGCCGAACAATTCCACTGCTGAGCTATGGAAGCTCAGAGGCCCAGAGGGTCGACGCTCTAAACAGTAATTCCAACCGCTGCGAACAAAACATCTGGCCGGACCGCGAACGGATCTGCGCCGACATCAGTTTTTTTACCTAACATCGAGGACTGGTAGGTTTCTAGTGGGCTAACAACAGCTCACAGATCACTCCACAGGGGGGTCCGGGCAGGTGTTGGGAGTTGCCGGGCGGGTTGAGTCCACCTCGTTTTTCACCAACAGTCACACACTTCGTGCTCTTCGAGTTCCCAGAACTCCATTCCCAGGCTCATTCTGAATAACCGGATGCAACAGTCACACACTTCGTGCTCTTCGAGATCCCAGAACGCCATTCCCGGGCCACCTTTAAAATAACCGGATGCAACAGTCACACACTTCGTGCTCTTCGAGATCCCAGAACGCCATTCCCGGGCCTCATTCTGGAGGGCCGGATGCAACAGTCACACACTTCGTGCTCTTCGAGTTCCCAGAACTCCATTCCCGGGCCACATTCTGGAGGGCCGGATGCAACAGTCACACACTTCGTGCTCTTCGAGTTCCCAGAACTCCATTCCTGGGCCACATTTTGGATGCCCGGAGCCAACTGTAGTCCACTTCGTGGTCTTCGAGATCCCAGAACTCCATTCCCGGGCCACATTTTGAATAGCCAGACGCTTCATATTCCTTCCGCCACAGCCGTGTTTGGTTCAGGACTTGCTAGTGACACTGCAGTCCATTGCATTCAATCGTGCCTCGTCACTAGAGTTTCGATTGCAATGGCGTTCCCCTGGCCGTACCCCCATATCGAACGTTCATCCGCAGCCTCTGCTCCGCGAGGCTCGTCCGAAGTGTCGCCGCCTCGCGGTGCTTCTCAGCCTGCGGAGGAAGGTGGACAGACGCCTGGTTCTGGCGCTGTGCAGCCTGCGTCTTTCACGGTCGCCTCGTTCAATTTCGGGTTCGAGCAGGGCATAATGACTGGTAAGCAGGCGGCCACTCACTGCGCTAACTTCGGAAGGGTGTGCGCCACGATAGTGGAGACCGCTGATGCTGATATGGTCTGTGGCTGCGAGGTCGGTGCGTTCCGTGAAGGCTTTCGCCGAGCAGGGATCAACGTGACAGAGATCCTCAGTAAGCCTTTCGGTGATGGCATTCGCTTCTCGGAGGTCGACAACTTCTTGACTCTCTGGGGGTTCCGCGGTGCTTCTCAGCCTGCGGAACTGACTCTGTGCGAAGACAGCAAAGTTTACAGGCCTCCTAGCGGCCGAGAGATTGATGATGTTATTTCACATTTTGAGGTGAACAAACCAGGCCATGACAAGTTCCACGTGGTGATCGCCAACATGCACATCGTGTGCGGCAAGAAACCGCCGACCATCCAGACTCGAAAGCGGACAGTTCGCCATCTCCGCTTGCACCTGGACGGCCTGGCCAAGATTCTTGAGAATCTAAACCAGGCAGTCGTTCTGCTTGTAGTCGGCGACGACAACCTCACTTTCCAGGAGGCGCGGGAGGCTTACCAGCGCGAGCAGAACGACGAGAAGGTATGGGAGGTACATGCCACTCCGGCCGACCTCAAAGGCGACCA